CCTGGGCCTGGACGTGGGCCGCGTGAGCGCGGGGTCGGCGCGGCGCAGACCGGCGTGCGGAGGGCGCGGCTGCACTGATTGGGAAGCGGTGTCCCCCTGGTGTTTCCCCGCAGCAGCCTTGATTTTGAATGCGACTTCTTGCCAATAGGTGTCTCCTCTTCTCTTGTGCTGACTGCACGAACTTGGCCTTCGCTTCTGGAGCGGTGAGGCGGATTCAGGCTGTAGGAAACTCAGCTAAAATACAATAGATTTGGGGGCCGGATGAGGGTAGAGCTTTGGGATGAAGTGTGATTTCTTGGGAAAGGGGCCCACGCTGCTGAGGTCCTGACGTTCAGCACCTCTCCTGCGCGCTTTGTCTAGGCGCTCGCTCGCTTTTTTTTAAGAGCTGTGCTTTGCAAAGTGTCTTTAGTTTGTTAAATCGCCTGGGCCGCGCCGTGTGGCTCGCTGTGATGCTTTCCGGTCGAAGGGCAGGACTAAAAGTAGCAAGATGTGGCCTCTAATCGAAGTTAATTTACGGTCTTACAGAAATTAGAGTTCTCACCATAGAAAATGTTTCAGGACAACTTGAAAAGTGATCTCCAAGTTTCAAGCTGCTTCTTTATACGTGAAAAAAAAAAAAAAAAAGAGTCATAACTTTTGGGCCCTGAAATCCTGTGTCTACTCTTCCCTCCTGGTAAAGAGGGGGTAGTTAATTACAGTATACTTGGGACCCGCCCCCCTCTTGTGGCAGCCTGACTTACAAGTCAGAGTCCGAAAGCTCTTATGTGAACGTGCCTTCATCCTGGCCCGCTCTCCATCCCGTTAGAAGAACTGTCACAGGAACAAAAACAGCCTACCCAGCTAGCTGCCGCAGGTGCCATCCGGTGGCGCCATATTCATGGTATAACATGCCAAATGCATGGTGTAACTTAGGAGGTACCTTTCCAAATTTCTTACCAGCAACTGGAGTATTTTGTTTAAATTATTTTGAGAAAGCTAGCAAACCATTGCTGCCAGTGCAGAGGCAGCACTGTATTTGTTAGGAGGACAGACATCCTCTGACAAGCGATGGAGGAAGTGCTGCTGTCTCCTTGACTGTTCTAGTAAGTAGGATGTCCCCGTGCACATTTGCCCTCAGTCCCCAAGACTGCCGACTTTGGAGAACTGGCTTACGTTTAACAGAGACGAACTCAATACCATAAAATCATGTTGATGATCAGTGTGCTCCATGTCTGCGATGCCTTGGTTTGTGAGGTGTTCTGTGTATTTTGTATCAAAGGAAGTAGGTATTGCTTAGGCTTTTTGCCATTTCATTTCAATTTTTTAAAATGTTTAAATGTTAAACATCACATAATATTTACACAATGAGCTCTTGCTATGAGAAAAGTTAAAAATGTCTTTTGTTGACATTTTGATTTTAAATCCTTGGATACCTATTTCAAAGTTTTTCTCATCACTGCTTAAAAAAATAGGTCTTAGTTTCACCCAAAGTTTAGATGTCTCTTAGCTTGAATAGTCACTGTTCCATTCTATAATAAGGAATCTTTTCTCTTACAAAACAGGAGAAAAAAAATCTGTGGGGATAGTGGTTATTTTTTATGTTTTCTAATTAATAAATAAGTTTGAAAATGCCTCGGCTAACAGGCAATGACCTAGGTGCAATACCGCCCTTTGAATAAACTACTGTGGATGTGTTTTGTGAGGGCTAGCCAGAGTCAGATCTACCCCTTTAGGCAAAGGGCACAGAGGGGAGAGGCAAAGGTGTCTTCCCGGCTAGCAGGCCTGATGCAGGCCCGGTGATTCCCTCCCTCTTGCAGAGCCTGGAGCATGTGGGTTGATGCTGGTGAGGGCCTGTGCTTGTTTTTCTGTGTGGAGAGGCCTGGTAGGTAGCCACCCATTCAGAAGTTGCTCCACACAGAATGCCCTGAGGGTTCCCAGAGTGGCTCAGAACAAAGCCAGCCCTGTTCTCCTTCCATTTACCTTCATGGCATTCTTTCCTAATCCAGATTAGAACACACCAGCGGTGCTTGCACCCTGCCTTATCACACCCAACACTCGAGCTTTGTATGCTATTAACATCCTCCAGGAGGACCGGTCCAAGCTAAACATTTCCACCAAGTCATGGGTATCTGCTGAATTGGCAGCTTAGATCAAGACAAGTCGGGCCAGACCTGTACAGGAGGAAAGCACTGTGGTGTGCCACCCAGAGGGGCAGAGGAGCACCTCCGAGTGCCTGCTGGGGACCTGAAACTAGATGGGGAGCCCAGTCGGTCTTAGGATCAAACAGTCCTGTGACCTGTGTTCCTTCAGGGCTGGGGGTCCATGGGGACTTGTGCATGCAGAAAAGTGTAAGCCCACTTTTTTTGGAAGAGTTCAAAAAGTTTTAGTCTAAACAGATGATAAGGGCTGAGATCCATGCATAGTATTTTGGTGGACATGAGAAGGTGGCTAAAGTTAAAAATCGAAAAGAAAGAAAATGAAATGGTATGGCTTCTCAGCAGAAACCAGAACTTCCATTTGCCTGAAGGTCAGCAAAAAGCAAACTAAAACAAAACAAACCTCCAACATACATCTCAAACTGTTATTAGAAACTAAATCAGGCCAAACTGAACTATAGTTTATCATTGGACAAAACCAGCCATTTGACAAGGGTCGCAGAGAGAGGAGTCCGGGAGGCATCACGTGATTGACGGGTTATCTGTTTCTGGAAAAAGCAATACCCGCAGGGCCAGAGGGCCTCCAGGGCGGAAAGGAGGACACTTTCTGATGAGCAGCAGAATTGCAAACATTGAGATCTGTACAGCCCTCTACCACCCTCATGCACTGGGGATTCTCAACTTCTTATAAAGTCACCTTCGCCACCACTCTTGCTATTCCAGATGTTGGTTTTATGTGGCGCCAATTCCCTGTAGAAGTGAGAACAGACAGCTGAGAGACAAAGTAAAAGAAAAGAAATGGTCCTGGGCCGGCCAAGCACAGCTTTTAACAGTGTACTTGCTGTGCGTGGGGAAAGAGGCCCTGTGCCCTGGCCTAGAAAACCCAAAGAATGAAGGGCAGGTTACTTGTTTGCGTCTCAGAGTGTTTACACATGTTTTCAGGCAGTTGGGGACTAATGAGAACGGTATTACAAAAAGACCAAGGGTCACCACGAGTGAACACCGGCCTGTAAGTAAAACACCAGAGGCAAAACCGAGGGCTGCTGTTTGCCAGCCAGCCCTGAGTAAACTGTAACAGACAATTTGAAAGCAACAGCACTACTTGAGCCAAGAGAGAAAATCCGAATCCTAGGAGAAGCCTCCCATTTTCCTGGCACTTTCTTACAGTATCTTTAGCAATGGGGGCTGGAAAATGTGTTCTCCAAGCTTATTGCTTGAAACACGAAGGTCTTCCATAACTAGCTAGAAAACACGCGTCCCTTTGAAAGGAGCCTTTGAAAGGAGTCGTTTTGTGCTGAAATTCAGCTCCTGGGTCCCTGACCTGGGCGCAAGTTGGAGATTGCTGCGACAACTGAGGGGTGGGAAAGAACTTGCTGCTAGGAGGGAAAGGAGCCCTGGGTTTTTCATATATTATTTTTAGACCAAATTCAGTCGCCTTGAGGGCAGTGTCAGCCCTATGGTAGTGAATCGGTGGCGGGTCTTCTGGTCACAGTGGAGGCCGCGAATCCGGTCCCGGCTCGGGCACTGGTCTTTTCTCTGGTAGCGTGAGTCTGCAGGCGAGCTCCCGCCGAAACAGACCGGGCAGACTTTGAAGGGCGGAAGGCCCGACCCTGCCCGCGCCGCTGCGGGGATGGAGGGCGACAGGCGCCGGGGTCCGCGGCCTTTTCCCGCGCCGCCGGCCCTCCGCGCCCTTGGACCCCGAGCGCAGGGCCGGGTCCCCCTCCTCGGTCGCGGTGGCCGCGCGTTGCGCGAGCCAGGCCCAGTGGGTGCCCGCAGAGAGTTTATTGCAAACTCGGAAGCGGGCGGCGGCGCGTGTTTATACAACCCGGAAAC